GGGGCCGGCGCAGCCCTGTGAGTAGCTGGAGATAGGCCAGCAATGACCTCAGACACGAACCAGTCACTTGTCGCTTGTGAACAGCAGGAGGCACAAATGAGCACAGATCTAAGGCGGTTGCAAGGCCAGTGCCAGGCTCAGGTGCATTACTTACATCCACCGAGTCTGTGGCTTGTGGAAGAACATCAGCACTAGGCTCCGGCTGGGAGCAAAGCCTTTCCAACTCCAGCGTCTGGGGGCTTGTGGCCCACCCCCTGCTCTGGGTGCAGGTCAGGGATGCATTTCCTGCTTGCTGCAAGTGAAAGTATTGCAGGCAGAAATTCCTCTCCAGCAGTGCTAAGCCCCAGAGACTGAGCTGAGAGCTCCCTGCTGGAGAGATGCTGCTGGCATTTCCTTCAGTGTGAAGCCTGTGGTGTGCAAAGGCATTCTCTAATCTGAAATGCCAAGGCCCAAAACATAGCTGGAGCTGATGATGCACTAGTTACGCTCTGGCATCACCACTATTTTTTTCCTGTTTAGATGCAAGGGGAGCCTCACCATCTGGCTGCACAGACTACAACAGCCAGATCCTTAGGCCTGGGAAAGTGGGTAGGTTCTACTCGCAGAGGCCAGCTCCCTGCCAGAATAGCTTAAGTGACATTTTGAGACCAGCCCTTTCCAACCTTTTAAATTACTTTAATAACACACGAGCCCATGTTTTTGGATTTGGTGTGTGTTCTGCATGGCAAGATAAAGAGCTTTTATCTTGTTCCGTTTTCGTTTCAACTCTGGAATTCGTAGTCAGACAAAGGGATACTGCATTTGAACTGGAATATTATTCTGCTTGCAATGTGCCTTGGGTAGGTTTGACTGAACTTCATAGCCATCTCTGGTCTTTGAAATGGAGCTGGATTGGCAGGAGATCAATCCAGGTACTGTTCAATTAACTTTTTAATACTACAGCCCTCGAGGTGTGGTCTGTAGTGAGAAGGGAAGGCAATTAAAGTGGGTCAGAAGCATTTAAATGGTGGTTCAGCAAGTCAGCATAGACAGCTGTGCTCCACTATCCATTTGCTTCTAAAAAACCATCATCAAAAAAACATTCTGTCCTGTGCAAGACACAAATGGACAGCAAATGTATTTTTGGAAACCACTCCGTTTCTCTGGGAAACACAGGAATTCCTGAATGTAAGGGAGGTCTGGAACAAGAGTAGAGCAGCTGAAGCACCTCAACAAATGCAAAACAGCCTTCTGAACAGAAGGCCCTAATCCAGGGGACAATCTGCAGACACCTTGCCTCAGTGCCGACAGCTGGAGCAGTGTGAGAGAAAGGACTCTGCAAGCTTGAAGGAGCCACAGGGAGGTCATGGAATCAAAAAAGTAGGGCCGGAAGGAACCTCAGGAGTTCATCTAGTCCAACCCCTGCTTGAGAAAGAATTGTCCTCAAATATCCCCAAGCACCTGGTTTCTACATCCCAGTGGTGTTACATGTTCCAGCCTCACAGTGTTCCAAATCTTCAGGAAGGAGCCAAGAGACCTGTGAGAGGGGAGTAATGCATGGCCAGGCCAACAGTTGCAAGGAAGTCATACTGCCACTTGCACTTCTGAAGTCATTTGCTTTATGGCCCCTTCCTCTTATAGGAGTCACAGTCCTTCACAATGACAATGCACTACCTGGCACACCCTCCAAGCTACTGTTTGTGGTCGCAAGTATGCTGCATGTGGTGCCAGTCAGTGTGTGCACTTTCTGCAGTCGACAGAAAATACCTGCTTTGGATTTAGCAGAAACTGGGGTCCTGTTCTCAGGGTGTGGAATATCCCTTCATTTTGAGCATGGGCATCGCATGCCCATGAACGTGGTTTAATGACGAACTAACCTGCCTGCACAACCAATCAAAGTTAAACAACTCTGTGCTCCCTAGCTTCCTAACAGTGAATGCCATAGCCGGATGCTGCTGATCTGCCTGGGCTTCTGCATCTTCACAGCAACTCCTACCAAGGCGGACCGAACACGCAAACCACCAGCATGCTCCCCACCACAATCTGTTTGGCTGCAGAAAAACAGCAGCAGCAAACGCAGTGCGCCCAGAATGCCAAAAATGATCAGGCAATGAATGGAATGGGATATTCCCAAGGAGATGGAGCAACAATTCTATTTTAACAAGGGTTGAAAGCTTCTGTGAACACATGACAGGAACTGTTGATACAAAAGAGGCAAGACAGTGAAATCAAAGACATCAAAGAAAACCCCACAAGTCATCAATAGGAAAAGTTTTTCCATTTAATACTAGACTCTCTCAGGATTGAGATGCAGGCTTTTTATGCAATTACATCCAATGTTAAAATTGGTAATACATAATTTACAAAGATTAACATCAAAACAATGATCTATTTAGATATGCTTTGTAAAAAGGAAATATATTAGCAGCATTTATTTTCAGCAATCACACAGCCTACACCCATGCAGACTAAGAGTTCGTATCTATTTGCAATAATGTAGTGCTTCCTGGTCTTAAAACAGCGATCCTGGTGACACACTGGTCTTTTCATTATTATAAAATAACCGAAAAATAAAAAAAGTCATTAATTTCTACACCAGTAAGAAAAACAATTCTTTGCACTTACCTAACATTTGATTGTCTAAAAAACATTTTGTTTAGTCTTTCAACAAAAGAAAGATAAAATGACAGAGCTAGTGTCTCGCTTCTGTACGCACTTTATTTTTTAAAAAGTTTTTAGTGTTTAACACCATTTGAGACAATGATTTCTGTTTTAAACTAAATGAAACAACTCAAGATTTTGGACATGCGATATTCCTACTACACGCATGAGTATTTTATACTCAGGGTTCCTGGTACTGTACAGTGCTTCTCTACAGTAAGAAAATATTCCAAACTATTTTCTTATTTCTTTTTTTTTTTTAATAAAATATTTTTTCTCAAAGGGTTTTTTCCTTTCTTTTTTTTTTCTTTTTAAATCAACACATAAAAGTTAATGGAATGAGTCATGTTCCACTAAGAGTAAAATAATAATTATAATAATAACAAGAATGTACATTAGGACAAGCTTGGTCCATTAAAAAGGAACATGTAACTACCGTATTGCTTTACATCCACGCAGCAGATATATACAACTTGGCACATTAAAAACTGTTTTCTTATAAGAACATCTAAAACAGGACTGTATATGCATATGTATGTCTGAAAGACAAAAAAAGCAAAGCCATTTTAAAGGGGCAGTGTAAGCCTACTGCACCCTCTCTTTGCCACTAACTGGGATTGACCCAGAGACAGATAGATGATAGCTTCACGGCACTGGATATTGGGGAAGGTTACATGTTGTAATACAGTGGATCCTGGCCCAGCACTAGTTTATGGTAAACTATGGCAATCACAATTCATGCAGTGAAAAGTCAGGGCCTTGGCTGTAGCTTTTGGGTACAACACTTTAATGAGGGCAGAGAGAGGGAGGGGTGAAATACACTGTCTCTTTAAGAGACGGACGTTTCAGCTGTACAGGTAGAACACAAGAATAGTGTTATCAGTGGATATATTCTACAGGTCACAACAAAGACGCGCTCTGAATACTGCTTGACGGTTCATGTAGTGAGGGTTTCTTTTTTTTCTTTTTTGTTTCTTTTTTTCTTTTAACAGGTTTTAAATTTGCACAACACACTGGACACACAAGAACCACAGCTTATCAAAAAAACCAACAGCAATGGTGTCGTCAGGATTCAACCTGCTTTATAAAACTTCTCTGCAGAAAAAAAGTGAAAAAAATCCCCCCTCCCCCCACCCCCTTTCAGGATGTGGAACAAGTGCCTTGAACAGCCAACTGTCGCTCTACTCCTACATGACCAAGGAGGTTTCCTCTCTACAGACCAAAAGGAGCATCCACGCACCGGCCGTTCCATGGTAAGCATTTTGCACATTCTGGTACACTGCTTTCCCCTCTGAACTTGTGCAAATTGGAGGCCACACCTTTAGGGTAGCCTTTATTTTAAGCCACTGGGCTTTCACCCTCACTATAGACTTCACATACTGGTGGTGTCAACAGTATCTTGTACAATCACAGGTGAGCTGGCGAGGACGGGAAATAGTCTCATCAGTCAGTCCGTCCTCATCCTTCTATAGGACCCCCCCCGCTTTTTTTTTTCCCTCTGAGTGGGGACACTGAGCAAAAATAAATTAAATTTGACCACCCTGGACAAATAACCACGAGGTTTTCTCAGTACCTAACATCAATACAAGGCACGCCCAACAACACACACACCATACGAGCACTGCAGAGCAGGGCAGGGCCACTCCCTGCCCAGACACCTAAGTGCTAACTGTTTGTATATTTGTCAGTTTTCTTCTGCCCTTTTTTCCTTGGCCAGTGCACAGGAAGTGGGGGGGCTTTCCCAGTCAGTCTCTAGCAGACCTGGTAGTGGACTCCAGACCACAGGCTCTTGCTGGGGCATCACTTCCTGAAGCTGCTCTCTGGGATGCTGAGAGTACGCCGCCTCAGTTTTCTTCCTGATCCTTCCTCCAGCAAGTAAGTGACATCAATAGCTGCAATAGATGACAGAGTTCTTAGTAAAGAGCTGACATTACTCTGCCTGAGGCTTGTGCATTAACCCCCCTGTTACATGACAGAGATATGTGATCTGCTCGCTTTGAAGACAGGAGCTTCGATTCTGGCTGTTAACCCAAATTCTCTCTGGGGAGGTCTATGCAGCAAAATGGACACGTTACCGTAGCCCAGACAGATGCATGCATGCTTGTTTAAACCTAGCTAGCTACCACAGGCAACAGAGGCTGTCAGGATGCCATGATGCAGGCTTCAGCAACAGAGTACGTGCTCTCTAGAGACTCTGGCCACTTTGGAATGAAGGCATGCATCTTCATTCTAGTGTAACGTGGTAGCTGGATTAAAGCAAGCCTGGGTACTCCTATCCAAGCAAGAGTTCACTGTCCTTTGAGGCTAAAGAGAAATCAAGTCAGGACCTGATTCAGACTGCTGAAACAAATGACTCTTCAAATCCACTTCAAATTCATTGAGCTCTAGATAAAACCCTTAATCTTCCCGCATCTGCCCCTCTATTATCTCAGCTATAAAACAGGAATGATAATAATTACCTACCTATTTCGGGGAAAGAAAGGAGAGTTAAGTAATGACAAAGCACTCTGAGGATACCTACAAGTCCTGTACCCACTGCATCACTTAAGTCAGAAATTTAGTAAAGTTTGTAAATCTCCTGCAAGTGCTTCAAAAGGCAATCTTTTTTTGTGCAGAGACCACTGGACAAACATTACATCCAAGCCCAAAATATCTGCATTACTAACATGTTCTGCATGACCCTTAAAAACAAACTTAGAGGGAGAAATGGCTGATCTCTCACCATTTTTCCCTGGGATTTTTTCTAAGAGGTTTAGCAGGATCTGATTAAGTCTCTCTCTCTGAATATGCCGCCTTTCCTCAGGAGTGCACAGCTGCCTTGTGACGGAGCTACTGTCTTCCACTTTTTTATCACTCTCACAGCCCTCACTAGACATTGCCTCCTTCTCTGGCTCCTCAAGGGTAGGCATCTCACTGGAAGTTTGTTCTTGGTTCAGTAGCACATCCTCAATGAGTGGAAGAGGATCCTCATCTTGGTTCAGGTCTTTGATCTGTGATTTTGAGCGGTCTGTCTTCCAAGATGACCTAGAAGGGAGGGAAGAATGTAAATGTCTTTTGTTTTCAGGCAGTTGACTGAAAGATAAATTCTTCATAGTTGCACTCCCAAGTAGCAAAGGGCTTTCAAATTCTCTGTTGTTTGCAGCCAATCACAGTGGTTTCTATTGGTATGGGGAGTTCTGAGGCCAGACCCACTACTTACCTAAGAGAAAAAATGATACATGCCTAGTATCATCTGACCTTGCAAGGCTGCAAGTGTTACCTACTTCCTGAGGCTGCTTCTGCAACAAGCTTTTGAGAATTAAAACAGATTTCTCAGGCCGCAGAACTCTCTGTTGTTCCAAATTGCTTGAGCTCTGCCTCCACTGAGGACTTATAGCTATAGCTTTCACAAGGCCTGATGGGTGTTTTTAAAGCTCATAATGATACAGAGACCATCAGCCCTCTATGCCTGGGAGCTGTGACTACCCAACTCTCTGGGTAGGCATCTCAGCCTCAGGCAGAATAGCTCAGGAGGCTACTGTGTTTTTGCTGAACTGGACCCTAGGCTTTCCCCACGACACGATTCAAGTCATCTCTGCTTACTTTTAAGCTGAACCAACAGACCAGACCACCCTCTCAATGTTTTCTGAGACTCATACCTAGCTCCATTTTTTTTGCTATTCCCTCACATTCCCTACCATTTGTTTTATCAGTTCGTGTGAGTATGAGGGTATTTCCAATTATTTAGATTTACTGAATCTACAGCATCTCGGGGACATAGGCATGGAATGGGCAAGGGTGTTTCATAAACAAAAAGCATTATCCAACCTCTTGTCCATGAACATCCCAGCAGATAGGACTCACCTGCCTCCATTTCTCTTGTAGTTGTCTGGAACATAATGAGGCTACAACAACAACAAAGGTCTCAGTTAAAGCAAACACGAAGTACTCAGCACTCAACAGCGTATATATAAAGTACCACTTGAAGTGCAGTGTGAAAGAAGAGCTAGCTTATCTCAGACAATGGAGGTAATGGTGCCCAAGTAGAAGGGGTTGTGACCTACCACTTGAATGATAGAGCACATGCCCCAGTCACTCCATGGTACCAGTTCCTGCTACTACATGTCTCAACACTGAAGTCATCTAGGTCTCTAGGTAAATTTCAAGCCTGTAGAACACACTGCTACAAAACGATTATGTCCTTTCTCCTACTAAGAAGCTGGAAAGTCATTAGAACAGGCACTTACTGAGAAGTCTCTCTTGGGCGTGAGTTTCTTGGGAAAGTGGTCAAAGGCATAGGGCTTGGTGCATACAGGATAGCGATTTCGGTGGATCTTATAGAAGAGGTGCGCCGATTTATCAAGGCGATAGTCACAGATATACACATCCTGCTCCTTGACTCCCTTTGGCCGCCCTGAAGTTATGGTGGGGAAAAAAGCATGTTGGAAAAAAATGCTTATCTGATCCTAGAGAAAGCCCACAGTATTCCAGAGCAAAGAGAAACCAGGCACTATGGAAAAGAGATGGAACTAGAACCACTTTAGTTCTACAGTCTCAGCTACTCCTGTTCTCTTTCACTGAGATTAATACACAAGTGAATCTCTAATTCAATGCAAGAAGAAAGCTTGCATACTCCAGGGTGGGGAGTGTCAAACTTCCACCCATGAGGCTCCCCAGGGATCCAGAAATTTGGCAACGGGAGAATGGTAGCAACAGTTGCAGCCCCCCCGCTGCCAAATTTCTGAACCTGTGGGGAGCACCACGGGCTGCATAACACAGCCCTGTGCGGTATATAGGGTGCACAGGTTCTACTGGAGGCAGCACAGGGCCTGATTCTAGTGTGCTGAGATGGGCAGAGCTGGTGTGGCCCCAATGGGCGAGCAAGGGGCCCAATCCAAGTTCGTAGAGACAGGGGAGACAGTACAGGAACTGATCCTGGAAACCAGGACCCAATCTGGCCTGCAGAGCCAAAAAGTAGAGTATTACTGCTTTCATCCAACACACACGTATGCATACATAAAAGTTATGGACAAACTAATGAGAAAGGGAGAAAAAAAATTGTGGAGATGGTGTGGGAGACAGCTGGCGTGAAGTGCAATAAGGAGAACAAGAGTTTTTTGCTACATATGGAGAATGCCATGTCCCACTGCGTTTTATTTTATTTCTCAGCCTGTAAAGCCTACTTACCTTTACAGTAGGTATAGAGGTCCAGGACACAGCAGGTCCCCACCACAGCCTCCAAGGGGATAATCTCATACAGTGGCACACGAAACAGCTCATTGTGATAGAACTTTCGGGAAGGAGAGTGGTGCGTTTCATGTGGACGGAAGTAATGATGACCAAAAGCAAACCGCTCCTCTCTGTTGGCAGGTAAGAGGAAAAAATGACAGACGAGTCTCATGACAGTGATTCAGACTGCTTTTAAAGCCCTGTATTCATTACACAAACAAGCCTTTTTTCTAGTTCACCCTTTTTACTAAATGCAAATAATACTTATAGTCTAACTACTTTAAAAAAAACCCAACCTTTTACCTTGCACTGTCTATAATAAACTTCTACAAGCTATTCTGTTTTTAGCAGATAAAAGGAATCCTTAGAACACAGAAAATGACTTGAACTTACTTCTCATTTTTCCAGAGTTTTTCAATGCGGAAGATATCAAGTTTCTCCCTGTTGATGTGGGATAGCAGCCGGTAGGACTGCCGGACAGGGTGCCCATCTGGAGTTCTTCGGCTGTCTCTCATCAGATATACACAATCACCTGGCAAAAGGCACAATACATGCAACCTGTAAGGAACTAATTATAAGACACGATGGACCAAAAATACAGAGGAAGCTGGCTTTGTTAAAGCTAACATGACAGCTGCCAAACATTTAATTTTAAAAGACTAAAACATAAGTGATGCAGAGCCAGAAAGTCAGCAGTTGGTTGCCTTCATCAAGATTCTGAGAACTAAACATAACTTGAATTATATGTCTCAAGTCACAAGTGAAGGCACATTATAAAAAAAGATCCATTATTGCCAAGTAGTAATTGGAATAAGGTTTTGGCTAGTAAAACACGCTATTCAAATTATAAGAGACTGTGATATTTTAAATGAATAACTAACTCTTTCCCTATTCCTTAAGAGGGAAATATCTGTTCTCTAGACAACAGGTCACTGCTGGAAAAGTAAACAGTTGACCAAAAAACCACTAGTCCAAATGCAACAACCTTGCTGGTGAGTCCACAGCACTTCCACAGTTTGCTTTAGCCAGGTAAGCAATCTTCTGAGCCACCTGCCCAGACCCTTAAATCCTACTCCAGACCTGCTCTGTTGTGATCCTATTCCACCCGGGCAGGTGCATCTATGTTGCGTTCATCCCTGAAGCAAGCTCCGGAAGAACTATGACTACTGGCTGCTTTGAGTAGGAGGGGACCCAACAACTGAGTGGCAAGGACATGTGCCCAGGAAGTAGAAGATCTAGGTTCTTGACCCCCCCCCACCCAGAAGGTGCATTAACCTACAGCAAAGTGCTCTAACCACCGTGCCATGGGCTATGCATCCTCTGTGCCAGGAAAGCAAGGGAATGTGGCTTAGTGGGCACTGCCTTGTGTTCTAGTCCCTGCTCCTGCCTGGTGGACAGTAGTGGAATACCTGTTCCTCTCACAGGGGACAGGAACAGGGATCAGAACCCAATGCAGTCCCCATCTTACTGAGCCACACTCCTTTAGAACTCTGTACAACTTTCAGCCAGTCACTTTATCACTCAGCTCCTACCTGTAAAATGGGCGTAACAAGACTAGCTTTCTCCCTTGCTGTGAATGACAGGTCTATTTCGATGGTAAGCTCTTTTGCTGAAAAACCACCACCTTTTATTATCATGTATTGGCACAATGCCCTCAGGAATTAGGCTCTTATCTTAGCTGGAGGCCTCTTACTACTTCTGTTATATATGTAGTAATTGCTGGTGGTCCCATGCCATATTTTCTCCCTTGCATAAGCTTTCATCAGTAATACTCACAAAGTACTTGGAGACAGTCAGAAGGAAATTCCAAAGAAATTCAAAGTACCATTCCAAATGCTACAGGAAGTATTGTGCAATATTTTAAAACGATTTCCATCTGTGTTTTAATGCATTCACAATGAATGAAAACCTCTGAAGGCCCCATGATTGACTCCTTCACCTGAAGCCATTAAGTGCTATGATGCAAAGTCTTGGAAAGCTAACCTCCTTTTAATTGCAGAGAGAAACTGGCTTTTTAAAACCAAGAAATCAGTAATAATCCATTTGAATTCTCCTCACAGACTGAGAAGACTAAGGGCATCTTAAACTAATGCCTTCTTTCCTTCAGTTCAGGGCAAGTTCTGTCTCTACCTTGGTTACTTCCAAGGCTTCACACAACAGGTGCCAACAGACTCGGGTGCTCTTGGCTGAGAAGCCAAGTTCAGCCAAGCCCTCCAAGTCTCATGATCCCTGGGTTTCCTTAGTGAAATCTGGATTCAAATGACAACTGTAAAACAAACACCGTTGGCTGAATATGTACACATTAATAGGAGACTCGTAAAAGCTTTTCCACCACATATACAGTCTCTGTTTCAGAGTTTTATGTTGCTGTCTGTCACTCTAATAACTAAGTGCAACATACTGCAGTACTGTAACAGACTGATGGTAAAAAAAAAAAGCGTTCCTCTGCCCCTGTGGCCTATAACATCTGCCCTGCTCTGCTAGGCTGAAGAAACACTTATACAGCAAAATGGAGTTGTTGCATTATTGTGACCAGCAGTTCCTATGCTAGCTCTGATCCAGCTTGAACAAGTACGAACAGGAGTAAGGACATGGTGTCAGGGATTTGCATGCAGGCTAGCAAACAGAGCGCAAGTACCCCCAGGACCTGTGCATGTCCTCTAGTGACCTGCCTATGCTGCTGCATCTTCACCACTATAGTTCTCCACGCCAGATTAAAAGTAAGCCTGGGTGATATGTACCTTTGCTATAAATCAAACCTTAATTTTGCTGCATAGACATCCCTTGGATCAGGCACTATTTTTCAAGAACACTCCTCTTTCCTATTAAAGGGCCTGCAACACACTCTTTCCATATGAAGAAAGACTAAGAGCTGCCCAGTTTATTTTCTCTTCTACTCTGAAAGAGGAAAGAAGGGCTGGGTGCATCTGAAAGAATCTGAAAAGCAGGGAGGGGGAATTGCAGCTGTTCCTGCTGGTGTATTAGAGAGAACACTGCCAG